TTAATCGAAGGATTATATGATCTACCATATGAACAATGATTGTTGGCATTAAATATGACAACTGTAAAATACAGGCTATTTCGTACAGATCTAATCAAAGTCTATAAATAGTCTAAAAATAATACCCTAATGACATTGTATCAGCCTTATCTGTAAAAACATTTAAGCTGCTTCTGACAAACATCTAAAAATGAATGGCATCTCTATGACTAATTTACATTTTATTTTCTATTAGTTATACAAACTTATACTCTGTACTTATACATAGTTATACTCTGTAATTGTCAAGTATTATATAACTAGTTTGACAGGCTGTTTATGTCTATACAATTTCTTGTAAAACCTTAATGTTAAAAAAATAATAAAACAAAAAAACAAAACACATACAGTGACGTATCCAGGAATAATTTGGGCATACCGGTCTAAAAGTTCTGTCTATCTTAGAGGACTTTTTTTTTTTTTTTTTTTTTTTTTTACTCAAATTTAAATACAATTCTTCGTATATAATATATAATGGTTTATCGCTAATCGCTACTTTTCATTTACTTGCTCCATACACTTACTATTTATAAATTAATGCTTACAGTATCGTCCACAATTATTTTCGTCACGTCCACAATTATTTTCGTTTGTCCATAATTATTTTTAAATCAAAACACTTTAAGCCATAATGACTAACAACAACTCAATAATCCAAATATCGAAATAGCTGAACAAACAAAAAACAAAACAGCAACGGAAGAAAATATTGCTACAATAAAAAGAATGTTGATTGGCAACGAATCAAGTCGATCTATTGCAAAGGCAACAGGTCTTTCAATTAGGACAATACAAAACTGGATATGAAAGCTTGAAGCAGACCAAAATATAATACAAAAAAACGTGGCAGAGCTGCACGAAATAATATTGAAAGAAAGAGAGAAATCGAGTTATTAATTAATGCAAATAATGCATTAACTACTATTGACATTGCAGAGTTAATGCCAGAAGAACATAAATGCTCGACAACTACAATCAAAAGAGAATTAAAACAAATGGGATATACCTGTAAAAGGCTTAAATCGATCGTTGTTGCAAGAAATTCAGCTCAAGTAACAGCAACGAGGTTTATGTTTTGCAATCATGTTTCTTTTCTGCGAAATTCAGATCTGGTCTATATTGATGAAACCGGGTTCAATCTGCATGATTCACGACATTATGGATATGCATTATTAGGAAGCACCCCGTTTGTTACAGTGCCCACACAGAGAGGAAGAAATGTTAGCCTAATATGCGCTATTTCAGTTACAGGGTGTATTGGATTTAAACTAAAGATTGGAGCCTTTAATACCACTAGCATGCACAACTGGATAGAACAAGATTTAAGACCAGTTTTAAGTGATCGCAGATATGTTGTAGTAATGGATAATGCGCGATTCCACCATTCATCAATAGTAGAATCGGCATTTCAAGAAAGTAATTGTACTATCCAGTTTTTACCACCTTACAGTCCTCAACTTAATCCTATCGAGGAGTTTTTTGGCGTGGTTAAAAATTTATTTAAAGGAATACAACCGTGGCCTAACAATTCACAGAAAATGATTAGAATTATTACTGAGATTTTATCAGGTTTTACCGAATATTCTTTTGAGAATTATTATTCTGACATGCGTGAGTGGATGTTAAAAGGAATTCAACGTAATTAATTTATTTGATTAAATTATACTTGGATTTTTTTCTTGATTTCAAAAATTTTAAAAAATAAAGTGTTTTGATTTAAAAATAATTATGGACAAACAAAAATAATTGTGGACGTGACGAAAATAATTGTGGACGCGACGAAAATAATTGTGGACGATACTGTATTAAATAATTAAATTCCAAATATTAAATATTATCAACTAGAAATAAAAAGAGTATGATTTCATAAATAAACAATAACTATAACGTTTAATAAACAATATTTGTATGACTCTTTGATATAAACTTTATTACATAGCGTATTTAAAACAAACATTCGAAATTTTAATTCATTCAAAAATTCATAACTTTTTTTTCTAGTTCTACTCTTACTATTCAAATAAAGTTTTTTGGTGCGAATATTAAAATGTTATTTTAATTATTTAAATAAATGTTATTTTAATTTTATGTTTTAAAAAATTTCATTTGTTTTATTATTTAAAGTATTTTACAAACAATTTTTACTGTTGTTTGAAATGAAAAAGTTTAAAACTCATCTAGTTTAATTGCTTCGAAAATTATGTTATGAAAACGTAAGTGGAGGAGAAACTCATATTAATGTATTTTAAAATGTTATTTAAAAATGCTAAGTGTTTCATATTTTAATCCAATCAAAACGCGCGTTTTACATTTAATCCAATTTCAACATATTCTATATTTCATCAACGTGAATTCGAATTAAGCATTTTGATTGGCTTAAATTACATTTATAATGTATTTTAAGTTTTAAAATACTTTACTTTTAAAATACATTTATAATGTATTTTAAATGTGACTTTTAAAATACACTTATAATGTACTTTAAAAGTCGTTTTTCAAATGTTGATATTTATGTAATTGTAACAAATGCTAATATAAAAGTGTTTAAATTAAGTTAAATTGAGTTTGGGCTGAAATTTGGGGGCCCATACCCGTATACCGGTATCAAAATTGGCCTGGATACGTTGCTGACATAGTGCATATCAATCATTTTGTGAAAAGAGAAAATAAGCAAATATTTTTATATTTCAAAATATCGAAGTACAAGTAAACATTTAATAACATTACTAGCTGATCTGATCCATAAAAATATAGGTTTTTGTAAGACTATTCCACATTGACCTTTTCTAACCTTTTTCCTTACATATATATTTTAGTTTTCTGGACCCATAAAATACGGGTCTTTACCAAACCTATCTTTTCTATACTTATCTATTCCACACCGATCATTTCTGCACCTATGATTTATTTACTTCAATAATTTTACGTAAAATAACTCATTTTTAAAAATTGCTATAAGAGCGAAAAAATTAACATGCGCATTCTTTCAGCTTATAAGAATTTTATAAACAGGTTTGTTTTTCTCCTAAATGTATATCATTGATAGCTCAGTGGTTTAGTGAGCTGTCATCAGGGTCGTTTTGGGGGATTTAAGGTCTCCCCTAATTAGTTTTGAATATTTTTAATCTTGCTGTGCTTATAGCAATATATATAGCAAAATTTTAGAATATATCTATAATAATTATAGCAATATTTATAGCAAATAAATAATTGTAAATAGCAAAAAAAATTTTTAATTGTTAAAATAAAATCCAAAAGTTTTGTCGATTTTATAGATTTATTATACACGATTGTTCTATATATTGCCTGCAAACTCAACATACGCTAAAGAGATTCAAATTTACAGACAAATTTGTAGGCAACGCTATACAAATAGCAGAACTAAGAAGATCTTAGGTCATTAAAAACTATAGACTATAAAACGCTTAATTTATTTTTAAAAAAGAAGGAGATCTTCAGGAGTCAATTTTCATTAAACTTGATGAGCTATTTTGATTTTTTATTAAACATATGACTCAGGGATAATATTGATCTTTTTTGTTTTGTTCATTATTGAAATTTAGCATAATACTATTTTGTGGTTATCTAAATTCTGTCCTTGTTGCGTACTCAGTTTAAAATGTTTAACAGGGGCATGATTAAATAGCTGTAAAACTTTAAACTTCTTTATTGTATCAATATTAAATAACTTTAAATTATTTTTAAAAGTATTTGAATTAATAAAATGGTTTAATTTAAGTATAAAATTAGAATTTTTAAATATGTTCTTATATAAAACTTTTTAAACCCCTTTACTGTTTAAAAAAAGTTACGGTTGCTGTGTGGCAAGTTCAATTTATCAGCTTGCTTCATTTTTTAATATTTGTTATTTAAAATGCAAAACAAAACAACTTTACAGTTTCATAGATTTTATATTCTATATATAAACATGTTGCATACTCATTTTTCTTGAACAAACTCAACTTAATTGTAAAAAAACTTGAAATGTAAAACTTAAATAGCATAAGTATCACAATCATGACACATAAACAACAAATATTCCTCCTTTTTTAAATGTTTTTAGAATTTCTAGCTTTTTTAAAAAAAATTTTGTTTGTTAAAGTGTATAATATCATTAGATATGTTTATATATATTCTTTATAAAACTTCACAAGTATTTTGTATTTTAAAAATCTAAAAATATTTTTTAAAAAGGTCGCAAGTGGTTGGACTTGAACCACTGCTTTTTTGTTAAGAAGCTCAGCTCTAACCACTTTGCCATGCTGGCACGTTGACGTTAAAAACTATACAAAAAATTTTTCTAAGGAAAATTAAAACTGTAGATCAAAAGTTAAGGAGAGGTTGATGTAATTCAATTTTCAGGCGAAATTAAAACTGCAAAACTTGATATATGTTTTAACATGTTTTAACACTACATAATTTGAAGTTTATATACGTCAAATATTTGATTACACTTTGATTCACATTTTCTTATAAACAAAGCTGCTGCAACTCTTTCTCGCCATTAACTCAGTTGCATTGGCTGCTAAGAGTTCTGTGTCAAACAGGCTCGAAAGGGCATTACTACTATTAAGTTCAGCATTATTATATAGATATTATTCCTGCATTGTTTTGAGAATAAAGAGAAAATAAGCAAATACTTTTATATATCGTGTAAAAAATATTGGAGTAAAAGTAAATAACATTGATAACATTATTACATAAAATTTCTACATTGTTTTGAGTTAATTATTCAATTAAACTAGTCTTTCAGTTATAAAGTAAATTGTGGTAGTTTAAATAAATTATTGTCGATAAATATAAAAAAAAAAGAAAAAGAATTTTGTGTCAAAAACATGAAATTCTTTTCATTTTCTTTAAAAATTTTAAAAAAAAATCTTTTAAGATTAAAAAAAAAACTTATTATAAATAATATTAGACTATAAGTTTAAATAAACTAAATAAATTTTCAAAAATTATACCTAATGATAAAGTTGCAAAGACAATATGTAACAGAGTAGAAATCCAGCTCAGAATATATAGAAACATATTAATAAGAAAATCTAAACATAAATTAAATTTATTTATGAACTATATAGATAAACTTTATGTTATGTTATGAACTATATGTTCATAATTGTATATATGTCTATCTCTATACTATTTATATAATCAAACTAAATCTTGAATCAAGTCAGTTATATACTTGCAAATAACAATAAAAGACTCATCAGAAATGCATTTTTGATGAGTATATATTGATGATACACTGTGAAAACAAAATAAATTGGATAAGTAATTTTCTACTAATATACATATAAATATATATATATATATATATATATATATATATATATATATATATATATATATATATATATATATATATATATATATATATATATATATATATATATATATATATATATATATATATATAGATATATATATATATACATATATATATATATATATATATATATATATATATATATATATATATATATATATATATATATATATATATATATATATATACACAGGTGCTATTCTAGACCGTTTTGACAGGTTTTACAATATTTGGGTGCTACCCAAATTAAAATTTGAGTACCTTTTTTTTTCTTTTTTTTACGCTTTTTACAGCAAATAGAGTTTTCTCCGCAAAACACACGTAGATTTTCCGCCAAGTTTTCTCTGGGACGAGAGGGGTAAAGCCACCCAAACTTTTTTTCCTAAAATAGCCCCTGATATATATACACACATATATATATATATATATATATATATATATATATATATATATATATATATATATATATATATATATATATATATATATATATATATATATATATTAGGGCGACTCTTAAAACAACATTTTTAAAAAAACCTGCTTTAAACCCTTTAATTTGTTTTATATAATACTAAAACACAAGGTTTGAATTTTTTTTGAATAAAAAATATTTTTTAGTGGTTAAGACTCCTAAAAATTTGACAGGTCCCTAATATTTTGAAAAAAAAAGTCCTTTTAAGGTTTTTTAAGGTCAAACAGGTAATCAAATTAAGAAAACTATATAAAAAATACAAAAATGAAAATCATTATTTTATAAAAATAATTTTTCCAGTTATTATTCTTAAGAACTATGTATTTGAACTAAATAATTGACGTCAATCATTATAAAATAACAGTTAAATAAACTTAAGTTATTCTAATTATATTTAATTTTTGTGTTATAAAATCTGGGTGCGTATTCAGCAAACTTTTTTTTTGCGTAAGTTTGGCGTAAGTTTTGCGTAAGTTCAAAACATTGAAATCCGTATTCACGAAACTTGCGCAGTTGCGTTAAACAAAACTTACGTAAGTTTTTTCGCTAAAAAATCGGTATTCACCAAGCTGAAATGGTATTCACCAAACTTTTTATAAACTTGCTCAGCTCATTTTAAGCAAGAAAAGTTACGTTAGCTATTAGCTGCCTTAACTTTGGCGTAAAGTTAAAATAACTAAATATTAGAAATAGTGTAATATTATTATGATTCATATATTATCAGATTGATATAGAATTTTATTAAAATATATACAATTCATGTATATAAATTGTATATGCTATAATAAAGTTAACAATAATCATAAATATTATTAATATATTATTAATATAATAGATATTAACACAAATATTATTTGTGTTAATATTATAAACACAAATAATATTTGTGTTAATATCTATGATTATTATTATTATCTATTAATTTTATCTATAAACTATTATGATGCATTTATATTTCAAATATAAATGCCATTTATATTTGAAATACAAATGCATCATAATATTTTTACAACTTAATATTATCTTGATATTTGTTACGTATAAAGTGTTTACTTATTTATGTATGTTTATTAACATATATATATATATATATATATATATATATATATATATATATATATATATATATATATATATATATATATATATATTATATATATATATATGTGTGTGTGTGTGATCGTGTATATGAATTGTGTGTATCCATAAATAGGCGTGTGCATATACACATATACATATATGTGTGTATGCGCGCACTGGACATACATACATTCACATACTGTGTGTATGTGTGTTTGGTGTGTGTCTATGTGTGTGTATGTATGTATATGTTTGTATGAATATCTATGTATGTTTGATTGTGTATGTGTGTTTATATATATATATATATATATATATATATATATATATATATATATATATATGCATATATATAAACGTATATATAGATTTGTAGTTCATCACGTTTTTGTCAGTTATATAACTGTTTAATAAACCAAAACATTGTGTATTATAGTATCATAGTATTATTGTTATATTTTTGTATAATATGATCAATTTATTATCTTATAGTTGTAATATAGCGTATAATAGGGTCCGAATATATTTAAATTACATGCATTATGATGATATATTATAAATAAATATTAATATAACATCTTTATGACAACCATTAAGATGTTATATTATTAGTTAAGTTAAACCTAATGTATTTAATTTATTTATATTAAAATATTATTATATTATTAATATAACATAACATCTTATGCAAAATAATAATAACATTGTTATTTAAATTAATATATTTAGTATATTGTATATTATTTGGATTATATTTTAAAAGATGCTGTATTGTTTCAATGCAGTTATGATTTTGTTAATATATACAATTATTGAATTATTATATTCATAAAAAAAACAACTATATTTTTATAAATATTAATAAAACACTATATATTTACAAAAAAGCAAGTATATCTTTATAAATATTCTATGTTTTAATAGCTTTATTTTGTTTTAGTTTAAATAGAAATTTGATTAATTTGGTCAAGATCAAATCTAGCGTTAAGCTCAATATACTGCTTTAAACGATTACTCTGATGTAGAATGTGTTAAAAAATCTCATTTGTATAAAAATATATAGAAGTATATATAGCCAACACATTAACAATGATTCGTCACCAAGCATATTGAGGAGCAACCTAATTTCTTCAGAAGCAAAAATGTAACTGAGAGTTTTTAAGTTAACTGGGAGTTTTCAAATAGTAATTGGTAAAAACTACTAGTCAATTCAAAAAAAGAATAATTCTTATTTTTTTCTATTTTTGAATTGAAAAAGACATTAGAATATAATCCTAATGCAGATTTTCTTTGCTTTATTAACAGTCATGATTGCAACATTTAATCAGCCAACTATACCAGAAAAAATCTATTTCAATAAAGTTTACCTACAGATAGATAGTGATGTGGGGCAATCCTTTGATTGTCTCAAAAACCATTGGATGTCACAAGAGACGTGAAGCACTTCAGTGCTCCTAAACATATGCTTACCCAAACAATATATTGCAAAATATATTTTAAGTGTAAGTTGCTGGAAAACTTTTACAATTCCTTAGGATTAGAAATTCCAGATGACATAAACTTTGAGGACAAAAACGAAGATGATATACACTATGTTCAGGTTGAATTAACACAAGTCAACTAATTCGACTTGGCATTGTACAAAGAACACTAGTTAAAACTATGTTATTAAATTGAAGGGGATATGGAGATATATATGATTTACGTGATATTTATGAATGAAAAAAATGAAAGTTCTTTATTTATTTATTAATTGCATATTAAACAATTTAAAAATTTATCTGCCCTTAATAACCTCTTTGTAGAATAATCAATTCTGAACCCTCTCTACCTCTTTTCAACTTAAAACTATTTTCCTAATATTTATAATTTTTTTTAAATAAATATTCAATAAAAAGTATTTAGTTTTTACAACAAAGTTTATAAAAAATATTATTGTCATTTTATTAGGGTGTGAAAAACGTTAATTAGTAATAACCCCTAATTTAAATTAGTTAAAAATTATATGAATTCAATATAAGAAAAGTTTGTTTTATAAAATTACGAAAACTTTGTTTATTCAAACAAAAATTAACTAGGTTGATTTTTGCGTAAGTTTTTGCGTAAGTTTGGCGCAACTCGTGCGCAACCCTAACTTTGTGAACATTGGTGAATACCGAACTTACGATTTCCGTAACCTTAGTTGAGCTACGCAAGAGTTACGAAAGTTTGGTGAATCCGCACCCTGTTTCGTAGATCTTGAATTGTGTTTGACTTAATATTTTATAATAGCCGAAAATATTTAATATAGGCTTATTTATTACGGTTTTCACAACAATTTTATCAAATATTATTATTTACATTATGGATGCAAAAATATTTAAAAGAGTACTATGCGACGAACCAAACGAAGAAGAGTATATATACTGGAAAAAAATGCTATCAATTTATTTAGATAAAGCTAAAATAGACGAAGATTGCAAACTTCAAGTTTTATTCGTACTATCCGGTGTTAAAGCTTTCACAATAATTCAAGATACTACATCATTTGATGATGCAATCAAAATACTTGATGACAATTATCAAAACGATTAATACCTATCATGATGCGCCACAAACTTCGCTCTTTTAAGCAACAAGAAGGAGAAACAGTCGAAAGCTTCATGAGTAGCCTGAAACAATTCGCAAGAAAATGTCCAACAGAACCTATAACAGCAGAACAACATATTAATTTACTAATTTGCGACGCTTTTGTCGCTGGATTTACTCACTTTCTATTCGACAAAGACTCCTCGAAGCTACAGAAGACAATCTCGAGGCACTTTATAAAACAGCGCTAACAATGGAATTAGCCAACGAAAATGCTCTTAATTTGACAACAACCACGACAGCTAATACCGTCAACTAGGGTGATTATGAACGCTTTTGAAACATTTTTGTATTATAGAAGAAAACTGTTGGCCCAATCGTTACCCTTTTTTTTGTAACAGAACATTATACTTTCCAGCTTCCTGGAATATTCCTAGGCCTGATCAACACTATGCAGTAAGTACCTTAAAGTTTTGGTTTTATATGACCATACCCATATTTCTGAAATGGGGTGAAAATGAACAGCCGATTCGGGATGACTTTGAACAATACATAATATTTTAATTTTTTATTTTGTGCGCTTTTTAAGTTGCTCAAAGTCCGTTAATTAAAGTTTTTAGCCTCAAAGTGTTATTTAACTTGTTTAATGTGTTATTTTTGGAAACTGTGAAAGTATAATAAAATATAATGTTGCCTGTACTTTGTTTAATATTCCTAGCTAATTATTTTTATTTTTTTAACTTCGAATCAAAGTTTCTAAAGTTTGTAGAAGAAAACTTAGATTTGTAGTATTGTCATTTTTAAATGACCATAAAATCTGAAAAAGACCATAATTTATAGTTTTATTAGAGCAATATGTATTTGAACTTAATGTACGCTAAATTTTATAAAGTTCTGATTAGCGGTTCTTAATATATGCTATTTAGTTTAATTGCCTAAACCACAGAACCACTATTTAAAACTTACATGAGATGTTTAAAGTAGGTGAAAAATAAATTTTTTGAGGGCAGCTAAAAATTAACTTCTTCATATAATATCTAAGTCATCTGAATCAAAGTAATACACTATTTAGTTATATCATGCGTTATCCTTCACCATTTAGTAAACTTGATATTGATGTTTATTTTCACCCCGTTGTTCATATTCACCCCAGTTGATGGTACTACGCTACCAACTTTTGCCGCAAGTCG